TTCCGATTCTCTCCCCCGTCCCACCATGGGGGAGTGAGCGAGCAGCTGTGTGGTGCTTAGTCACCAGCTGGGGCTAAACCACAACAGCTCTCCTCTATACATTTCTCTGGAAGACCATGACTTATACCAACATCCCATTGGTTCTCCCATGGCCAAGAATTATAAAACTAGTAGGAAAATTATAATTTCACAACTTGGTAAGTTTCAGCTACACACTACACTTCACAAAATCCCTCTTTATTGAGAATTATTGTAAGAGCAGAGCAAAGCAATGATAAGAATGTACTTTCTAGATTCTATCTAGATTTTTAATATGGACTTTTAATTAATTCCAAGGAATTTAACCTTAATATCAACTATCTGAAAACACAAAGTAGTAAAAAGTAATATTAAGCTTGTTCTTTAATTAGAACAATCATGTCGCTACTACAGATTATTTTAAAGATATCCAAATGTCATACATGACTGTAAAAAGCATGAAAATGTCCATTTCCCAGTTTGTCCTTAAATAAATAAGTTTAAAGCTCAATGTTTTAAAAAGCCACTACCCAAGTCACCAGTTTAGATCAAAATAATGACTAAGACCTCCAAGAAAATAACTTCCAAATAAATATGCATGGGCACGTTTCAGTATTTTCTTAACTGTGCTCAACTATGCAAGAGACATCTAAAAATCAACTCAAAAATGTTTTAACTCTTCCCATCTTAGACATTTTGTAAAACAATTGCATTAAAAGATCTCAATCTTAGGTGAAGTCAGAGACTACAGTCTACAGGTGTCCCAAGTATCTACAGAAGTTCTAAGTATCAGAAGGTAAATTTGTGTTAATGTTTTACCTTTGATTAGGCATGCAGTTCTGAAGCAAATGTCCAAATTTTCTGCTTTTCCTGGGCTTTGATTTGCATCATGAAGGTTGAGCACTTAAAAGGCTCCATTTCAAATGAAGCTAAATTGTAATCTGAACTCCAGGATTGTGCCTACTGCACTCCATCTACTGAATAGGTCTGGAGTCCATAGGACCAGACTAAAACTACTGTAGAGTAAAAAAAAAAAACCAAACACACAACATCCCTGAAGCACACCTGCCGTGAACATCAGGTCTTCATTACCTTTTCACTCCACAGATCATTTGCTAGTTGCTACAGCAAGTAGAGCCGTAATCTTTATTAGATACTGACAGTCCAAATTCAGATTTGCATCTAATGTTTGAAAGTGGCATAATCCTCTAACAAGAAATCAAATCCCTGAACACAGCACTCCTAATGGTCTGTGGTGAAATGGCTTTTGGTGCGGGACGGGGAGGGGGAGAGGGGACTATTTCGTTTCCCTATTTAATACAAACCCTGCTATGGAAAGTTTCCCTATAAAAGCTAGGCCAACACTAACACACATACACAACACTTTCCCAGGACTAAAATCCCAATTTTGAGGCTGTTCATAAGTGACATAGATAAAGGAGGGACTAACATTATTTCCTTCTGTATAGCTTTCCTTGACGCACAGGCACCTATATGGTTCCATCGCTGTGTCGCAGTTATCAGCGTGGCCATGGCAATTACACCTGAAAGAACAACACATAGTGAAGAAAAAATGAAAATATGGAAACACATCTGTCCAAAAATATATAACATGGTGACAAATACAATTTTGTGTATTACATAGTCCAGTTCTTTATCAAGAACAAATAAAACACTGAAGCGAATGTTTTCAAGTACAGTAACCTACAAAAGACTACTCCACTCAACACATTTTTAAGTTTGAACAATTGCTTTCCAAGAAAACAAAAGCCCGCATGTAGTAGGGCTGCTGTTACCTTATATGATATATAATGAAAACTATATTTCAGTATATAATATTAATATGTAAAACTTTATTAAATAAATGGCAATTATTCATCAATATTAAGCCTTACGGTGTGGCTATAGTTTTTCAGGAAACCTTAACCATATTAAGCATAATCTTCTAGTTTAACCCTTCTTGATCTCAGTTAAAATGTTAAATTCTTACTAAAATAAGACCTTTATCGAGTATCAGTAAATAGGCAATAACCATCCCACTTTACCTGAAGGGCTCTTCTTCTGGACACATGGCATAGCTTTGCAAACTACAGCTGAAATTACTGTTACATAGTCACCAAGATTGTAGCTGTTTCAGTAAAAGCATTATCATAACACATCTAAATCAATAATCAAAACATATTAGTAGTGTAGAAAATGTTAAGGTAAACGTGACCTCTAATGGGGTGCTTTCTCTCAAAATAAGATCTCAACTACCAAAATAATTTCAGGAATAATACTTATTAAAAAAATCTGCACCATATGCTTCTTGGAAACTATTTCATTGCCAAATTTGCATATTATTTACAGGGCATAATTAGTCCTTTCACAAGACAGCACACTTACGTACAATAAAGTTGTCAGTCACAGATAATATAATACTTTTACTGACAGCTGCCCAGTTTTAAATGGAAAACTACAGCTAAAACACAGACTGAGATCTGCATTAAGACTTAAAATTGCCATGTTTGGGAATCTATAACAAAACTTGGAAGAGCTACTGAAGTAAAGCACAAGCCATGGTTTCAGTCATAAGTCTTTGCTTAGAAGCATTAGTAATTCCAAGGAAAGGACTGCTTTTGGCAGATTTGTATAAGCAGTATAATTAATTTTAAAATAAAATGTGAGCAAATGTTTTAAAAAAAGAGTACACCAATCTTTTAAATTTGATGCACTGCTTCAGACCAAATTCTCTTCTCATTCATAAATGTTAAAGCAGAACAACTTCATTAAATTTTAGGCAGGTCATTATACACTTTGCACAACTGCATTAGTCAGCAGCAGTGATTGGTGGGGGAAGGGTTCCATAACACCTACCTTCCGCTGACTGTAACTTCATTAACTCCATAGTATCTATGCCTAAAATTTACCCAAGACTCATTAGTATGATACTGGCCATGGAGATGAATCCTCACTTGTGCAGCTTTTACAAATTCTTGGAGAGACGGAGTATTGTAAAAATCATTGTAACCAGGTCGGTGATTTGGTTCTGGCGTAAGAACACTAAAAGTTAGATTCCCACGGGAATACGGTGTAAAGCTGTTAAAATAGAGAGAAAGACAAATTAAATTCAAAATATCATATATTTTTCAGATTCTATCTCCTAATACCCTTTTTCTCAGAGGGTCTCAACTGTACACAGAGGTTTTTTTGTGGTTTCTGGGGAAAATTCTTATGTCACTGGATTCCCAGTCACCAGAATCCAAGCAGGGGAAGTGTTCTTTATATATCTGTTTTTCCCCAAACTGCCATACTCTTCCCCAGACCCTAAGTTTCCAATTAAAAGTAAAGCCTCTAAAAGGCAGCTTCAAAATATGAATAAAGTATAACTAATACAGTGTCATCTGCACTAAGTTTTCAAAAAGTTTAACACAGGTTCTTGAAGAAATATGAACGATGCTTGAGCTACACAAGGAAATCATTCAGATGACTAACATGATAATTAACATGCCCATATTCTTAATTATATACCTGCTAAACACATAAAAACCATACAGAAAAAATTATATTTTGAATTCCAGAGTCACTGGACTGTATCATCTCATTCAATGAGTGAGCAGAGTCAGAAACACACGCCACCTTCCAGTGAGTGAAGTGCAAGAGAATTTAATGGAATGCAGCAGGATTGAGAGTAAAACTGCATATTTAAACCCAAGAGGGGAAGGACAGTCCTGACAATTCAAGCAAAAGGCTGAGTAAACAAGTTATATATAAACTGCACATTTGCACAATTTGGTATGAATCATATCTTGTGTTTCTCAGCAGGGTTTAGCTATGAGTAGAACTTGCCTCCACAAGAGGCAAGAATGCCTGCTTATTTGCACACCTACATGGGCTCATTAAAAATAGGTACCCCACGGTATCACCTGGCACCTGACATACAATATTCAAAAAATGTAATTCTCCTCACTTCAGAATCTCTCTGAGATTTGAAAGATGAGATCCGTAGTTAGACTAGGTCAGCTGAGTCACACTCCTCTCTCCATGAAGGAGCTTTGAATTTACTGTGGCCCTATCCAAGTCAGTGCTTCACAAAAATCTCAGTGGAATATATCTGTATGTTTCTCTGGGAGATATTGTCCCCTCTTCACCTCCACAGAAAGTTAAATAAAGTATTTTTCTTCCATGACATATAAAGCTGTAATGAAAATATTGAGACAGGTACGAATGGCAGACAAATGACACCATCTTGGTATGGAAGCACCAGAAGGAACAGCAGAAGGACTGTAAGGCTGATAGCACCTAGGTAAGCAGGGTCATTAAGATCTTAGGGCATCTACACACAGCTTCTCAGGAAACCAGGAAAACAAAGGAGATCCTAAAACATGGGTCAGCCAATATTCAGACAAGCCTTAAGCCTCTGATAAGGGGGATAAAGGACAGTGAACAATTCCTAACTTACAGTGGTGGTACAGGATGGAGAAACAAAAACCTTAATCACTTTCATCTCCTAAGGGACAAAGTCCATTCAGTACTAGCAATGTGGTCACCAAACCAAGAACCCTCAAGGCATGGTAAGGATTTCAAATCCAAGGTCATTTGCCTTCCGTGTCAACCCAAGGAGTCCTGGCTAGGCCACCAGGATACAAGTACACTGGTATCTAAATGCTGAACAATTTGGACACATCTTGGCACTTACATGTATGGGGTATAAGAGAGAAGGAGAGAAACCAGTTCCGTTTTACAATAAAACCACCTTCCTCTCCTAGAAAAGTCTCAGCAGAGAGCTCAGCTACGCTGCTGACACAAATTTGGACCATTGAACAATGCTCCAACAGTAACTTCTCCAAGTATGCAGAATACTCACCATTACAGGGTGTATTTCTTATCTTTTAAGCAAAACTTTCTGTATATTAGCTGTACCCAAAATAATTCATTTGTATCCCTTCCTATCATCATTCACGTTGTAATTAAAGGGGAGAGACAGTGCTACTTACAAAACATTTATGAAAACAGTTCATACTTAACTCTTCAGTACTTTTTGGAAAATATACAAATACATATTCCTGGGCTGAAGAGGGCATTACCCGTCATTCGGGTTATTTATCCAAAAATGTTTGGCTTAAGAGATTTCCCTTCTCCTCTACCCTCTGCTCCAAGGATCAGCAATAAAGCTCAAAGTCCTCTGCTGAAAACTGGTGTAACTCAGATGACCTTACGCTCCTCTCCTCACAGAATACTGAACTCCTGGGGAACAGACAAAGATGCTGACACTTGAAAAGTCTTAGGAAGGTAGCAAAAGTGAAACAACAACAAAAAATGTCTACAGCACCTGGTACTGTATTTTCTGACTGACATTCAGCCAAGTACTAAGCAAGCCTAATACTGGCATCTGAAATCAGGCAAGAGATGGTGCATTTGAATATATGTAGTAGTATAGATTCAAATATATACATGTACATACATGCGTATGTGTGTGTGTAAAATGATAATATATATTAACTATTATGTATGGTTTATATTTATGAAATGGATACTGTATATATTTTTGTATTTTTAAATTTGCACATGCTAACTGTCTAGTAAAAAGGCTTGCAACATGTTTCTAAGAAGGTTATGATCCTTCTTGCCCTACCCCGCCCTGTTTTATTTTGGTTCTTGCTTAGAAAGATTAGAAAGCTTCAAGACACAATTTTCAATGCATTTCTTACATGCTTTGCATGATTAGCAGTAAGGCTGAATGATTGGCTTTTATACTTAAGTTTGGCCTCTCTTCTAAGCTTCAGAACAAGTTGCACTCTCAGAGATCAGAAGGAATACTTTAACACCCACCAGATAGTTTAAAACAATCTGTAATATCAGCACCTTCCTCCACTCCATCTCAACGTTCTGTAATTCTACTGACAATAGCCCCCCAGCACACAAGCATGTAAAATTTCAAAGTCTAGCTCAAAAATAACAGAGGAATCAATTGTGTCACATTCCTCAATGTCTGAAATCTTATAATAATGACAGATGACCTTTTGGCAGTCTTAATCGAAAGGTCAGATTTGGGATCTTTTATATACACAGCAGCCCATAATAAATGAGTATACCAAATTAAAAGATTCTATCTCATTGGGACATAGAAATGAATTGTGTTTGCATGTTACCTGTTCAAAGCATCTGCATTATGCAGATAATACCCACTCATACCTTGGAAGCTGGAGACAGTTGACAGAGTCTGGTTTTTCCAGAGATCCATTGTTATCCATTCCAAAAATACTGCAATTTTTAGCAAAATACTGCCAGTCTTCCCAGTTTAGATCACCTCTTTTTTTCCTTTCAATTTTTATTGCTTCAGGGTGTGGGCTAAAGAACTGCAGTACAATATAGAATACCTACAAGATAACAAATTTATAAACTGATATTAATGGCTAAGTTGTGAAACAATTAGAATATAAACTTTCTTTCAATGTGACAATATAGTCTCCTTTATCACTCACAGGCAGAAAAAGAACCAGTATTCCAGTCCACATTTTCACAATGAAAAACAAAGATAACCTTTTTTGTTAAACAAGCTCTTCGATCTCTCAGACATTGTTACAAAACAACTGAACTGTTGCATCAGAACTCCACTTTTTCTTGAAGACCATTTGAAAATCTACTACAAAGTCAAGCCACTGTTTGTTACAGAAATATTATTTTGGCAAAAACGAAGAGCATAACTTTGTGTTGCCAAATATTTGACAAGTGGTTTGTCTGATAAAAGGTAAATTTTTAAAAATTTTTTATCTCCCTAGTTTTAGCTTGGAATCTCTTCAAATACCCTGTATTGCATTGAAGAGCACTTCCCCCAGCATACTGCTTATGCAGAAATGTATACATGTCAAATAAACCAAGTCTTAGAACTTCACAGACATTTGAACTCATTTTTAACAAAAGGACTAATTCTTACGTACGTAGCCAAAACCTCACATCATATTCTTTTCCTTCTGCCCATTAATGATAAAAAAGAAAAAAGATAAGCTGCCAAGAACACACAGAAATTTGGTAGAGCCCCTATTGTGAATACAGCCCGACTACTGATCTATCCCCCTTCCAAGACATTCTGACACTCTTCAACAGCATAGTGAAGTGTTAGGTGCAGTGTGGCCTCTTCAGGAACCTTGCCTGCTTATTGTATTCTCCTTCCATATTCCTCAGGAGGCTAAACTACCATCTCTAGAACATAAATTGCCTCTGATATGTCAGTGTGCTGCAGACATGTTAAATACCTTTTGACTGCAGTCAGCTTTCTACCAGAAGGTAAAAAACAAGCATCTCAAGTTTTAATAGCAATCAAAATTCAAGTCAAAATTTACAAAAGTGCAGTTAAAAGGGAGCAAGCAATTTCTAAATATTTGTGTCCTTACACAGGATATCCACTCTGGTATATCTATTCCAGATTACTGCTTGTTACAACAGCCAAGGCACATCAAAAGAGAATGCATGCAGGAACCATAATGCATTCTGTTGCTTTTTGCATTGTTTCATGCTGATAAAGGAAGTTTTCTTCCTGATCCCATAAAGATAATGTCTTCAAGATTAAGGTTTGCATTTCCTCAAAACTGTAATAAAATGTCTACAAAAATCTTTTCCTAGCTTTGATTTAATAAATAGTAAATGTAATCTTCTCATTACCTGATACTGTCCATTTTGTAAATCTATTGTGATAGAAACACCGTGATCCAGACCTGCAGTATTAGCAAACACAGATGAAATCCAGGTGGTCCCAATGTCATCATCATTGATGTAATACAGAGGATGGGCTTCTGCATCCAGCCTCAGCACTCTGTCGTTAGTGGTATCGTCTTCACCATTAGGGATGCAGTATCTCTGTATCAATGGGTGTACCCGGGCATGACTTCCAGGACAGCGGCATTCAGACTGGGTATGCAGATGAGGAAATTTTCCAGAGAATACTTCCAAAATGTCTCTGTCACAGCATATAAAAAAGTAATTACATACATGATAAAAAAAGGACAAGTGCCACTTTGTGCCTCTAGGCTCATAGATTAAACAAATCTCAGTTCAGATTATAGTAGAAGCCCTAAAGGCCTGGTTTCATCTCACATAAATGGGGCAATCAGCTAGGAATCAGGCCATACAGGGTCCCTATGTAATCAATGGTATGCAGCTGGAACCTTCAGACAGTGTCAGTGAAGCAGCACTCTTTCATTGCTCCACAGACATATATGGAGCCAAGGGAAATGAGCTCCTTGTTGGGGTGTGTAAAGACAGGCAGGATGAATCCTATCCTAGATGCAAGGAGAACAACTCTCAACATTTTATTATGGCATCATGTCTGACACCAATAATTGAGCTGGACACTGCTCTTAAGGGTACCATAGTATTGGCATATTGCCTGTAACCACAGATGTTTGCACTCAAATCCTCCAAAAAGACCAGCTTGAGCAGTATCACATTGCACCTTAGAAAACCTAGATAGAAATATTTTCACTTTTAACTAACTTTAATGCAAGTGCCCACTTTTTTAGCTGCCCCAATCTGTGATCCCTCTGGTTGCTTCTTACAGGCCATGTCAAAGCCATTAAGTTACTTTAGCTCCCTCTGACATCAGCAACTGAAATAGATACATAGATAGGTAGGTAGGTAAGCAGATAGATATATGAACAACATGGACAGGTTACCTAAACCTTTATCTGCTCATCTCTGGTGTAAAAGAAGGATTTTGTGAGCCTAGAAGATATTGAATTTTTAAATTAAAAGCCTCTTTTCCCATTCTCCTACTTTATCAGTAAAAACATCAAATTTTTGCATACTTAGTAAGCAAATAAATACTTGCTAGCTGCCACTACAAATTCCACAGAACCCGAAGTTACACAGGCTTTTAGATAGCCATAGACTGAAATTAATTGATAAGCAGGCAAGATTTTCATTCACAGTTTATCCCAGATAAACATTTTGGACCAAGTTATTTGTGGATATAAAACTGCATCTACAAAGACATCAGGTCACGAGACTTTGTAAAATATCTTAACTTACAGTTTTTAAACTTTATTCATTTCACTGACTTAAACTGTAGTTCAAAGGATTTGATAAGCATTGGTCTGAAAGAATATAACCAACATGACTTCCATATAACTTGGAATTCAGACTCATATTAATACTTTAAATTCACAGGAGCTCAGTTTATAGTAATGTCCTGCAGACAGCTGAGCTGCTAGGAAACTGCTCTACCTCTTATTGAAAGACTATCATTAAGTAGCCTTGAGGTCTGCAGTCAGGAGTGTCATTGCATCTAGCCTACCCAGAAGCACCACACAAATAGGACCTGACTACTTCTGGCCATCTTGAATGAACTAGGTTAATCCAGCATGAGGTAGATAACAAAGGTAACATTTCTTTGTAATGTGCTAGGAAGGGAGGCTGGAGGGCAACAGAAATTGCAGTGGCAACCTAATTTGGCCTCAAGGATGAAGGAAATCAAAGCAATTGCCCAGGGCTATGTGGGCTGAGCTAGCAAAGTCATTGGCTGCTTATGGTGACAATCTAATACAGAAAGCAATATACAGTTAAGACAATAGCACCTCAGGGTAGGGGGGAATGGGAGGGGAGGAACGTCAAGGATACCCAACATCGACGTCTGATACCGTGGGGAAGCTGAGACCAGAGGAAAGGAAGTGCTAAGCATGGGAGCCAAGCTCACAGCCACAAAGCCAGCATGCTGACCAGTTGGAGTGCCTGTTGTCTTCAGTTGGATCACCAGTATCAAAATGGTCAAAACTGGACTGGCCTGCTATGTTCCCTTCCTTGCCCCACATGGAGCGCTCAGAAAACTTGGCAAGTCTCATGCAGCAGGACTAAGTTTATAGGCACAGACTATTATGTCAGAATTATTATGAGTTTATAACACCAAGACAGTTTATAAGCATTGAAACCTAGCAACTGGACCTACCCTCTGCAAGAACACCTACTAAGTCAGGTCGTAACAGGGACAACAGTAACAAGGAAAGCACACATTTACTATTGAATGGTGGGTTTCACTACATATTACATACACTAGTTATAGTTAAGCTATATTATTCAAAAGCAAAACCCATTAAGTTGTTAAATTTATTTTAAATCAAGATTTTTTAGATTAAAAATCGTCTTTGAAACAAGGTTCAATAAACGACATCATCATAAGCAATCATCTAGAGGAGACATCAGAAAAGCACTATTCTTTGGGAAATAAGTATATTGTTATCTATTCTTTCTTCTCATCACACTCCTATTTTTTTTTTTTTTTTTTTACAAAAATAAAGGTTCTTTACCTGTTTGTAAGTGCCACTGGGTAAAATCGAAAATCTTGCATTCTTCCAACAAATTGCTCTAAACCTAAGAAAACATACTATAAATAAGTAATCTATTGAGCAGAAGGCAGCTTTGCAATGCGTGAGAGCACCTTTAATTCACCACTCAAAGCTCTCCTGCACAATTACCCCTCCTGAATGAAACCATCTTGGACCTGGACAAAACTATAGAGGGCAGTGACTTTTTTTTTTTTTATAAAAAAGAATGATTTATAATAACTTTATAAGAACATTTTGTACCTATCTCTTTTCTGATTAGAGAGGTGGCACAAGGATCGGCTCATTAGACAGAAGTAATGAGCCAGTCCATGTGCCACCTCTAATTAGAGAAGAGATACAGTAGGTACAACTGTACCTATCAATTTATACAATAAAGATAAAAAGCATTTTAAAATATTCCTTTCTTTTATACACTTATTAGTTATCCAGTATTCAGAAACAGAATCACAGGAAAACACATTTCCAAATAAAAGCTTTAAGAAATGGGGCATAGAATTAATTCTTGTCCAAGAGCACAATAAAGTTGTTTAAGTGACATACAGTTATATTTAGGAGTTAGCTTCAAATTCTGCATGTTCCTGAAGAGCAATAGTCAGTGTTCTTACATCGGCAGAGCCAAGAATTTGTGAAGAGCAACAAAACGTCCCCCAGCTGTTCTGCAATGATTATGTCATGCTGTAGTACACACAAAATTCTAGATGGAGATGAAGAATAACATTATCAGGCATTGCTAGATGCTGAGGAGTTCTCATTCTATTAGCGATTTACACGAGTATTGATAGAACTGAAGAACATGAACAGACAGAAGTTTTCAGCTCTATTCCTGACTCCGGAGAGGAGAGTGTAGTCTTGCAGCCATGCACAATTCCATTCTGAAATAGTTTCATATATTTACTCCGAAAAACTATGATTGTAAATGAATGGAATGTGTCACTTTATAGACCTACATTTTAAAGCAAGAAAACCTACCTATATGCCATAGTACATAGAATAAATTATGAACCTACAGGATCATCTACTACACATCTACCTTGCAGCCAATCTTTTCAGAAAGCTAATTGTACAACAGGAATTTACTCCTGCAGGAAGATATTACTACTCAGCATATAGATAACTTAAAATCACTCACATTTTTTAACCACATCTTGTGCACATCTTGTTTTGATTATTCCAGTGTATTCCACTAACATACTACAAGATTTACCTGTGAAGCTTTGTCCAATTTGCAGTGTACCATCAGTATCTGCAACTGTTCCCACAAGAATTCTTGAATCAAACGGTGTGTTGTCACCTTCCCAGCCATTCAAGAAGAAACTAATTCTGCTGTGATGCACCTAGAGAATCAACGTAAAGGGGCAAACATGCTTCATTATGCAATTATTTTGATTTCTCTACATGTTGCGTCTATCACTGATTAACCATTAACATTACTTCTACCTACTTGCTGCATGTCTTTATTTTCAGTCCCTACTGAAAGTAGTTACCTCTTTTCTGTCCATCCGTTAGCAATCCAGTTAAGATCATTGCTCAGATGCACAGAGTATAACATTTCTACAGCGGTTAAAACAAAGAAGAAAGTACAGTACAGTGATTTGGCAGGGAAGGGGAAGAGAGAAAAAGAAGAAGGGTCTGTTTCACAAGGTACGCGGCTGGTTACAGCTACTTCACCACTTCAGGCCATAGGCACATGTTAGAGCTGTCAGAGCTCTTCTCATACACATCAGCTCATACGGGCCTCAAGGGGCTATCTACCATACATAGGATAACCAAACACAGCACGTTTCAGCCAGGCCTCTAACACTCCTCCAAAATGCCTCCCTAACCCCAGTGTGTTTCTTTCTACACAGGCTGAAGGGAACAGTATAGGAACTGGCTACGTCTGCTTTACACCCAATGGATAATTCCCTGACATCAAGGGAACCCTTGGCTAAGAATATGCACTCAGCCAGCACCCCAGGGTACTGTTTTCTGCAAGCGTTCCCTTCCCTGCCAAGTCACTTTAAATTCGAGCTAACATTCATAGAAATACTTTATGGCATTCTCCCAGCTCCACAAAGTCACAAGATGCTGAGCTTTTACAAAGTACTTTTTTGCATTAAAAATCCTCATGTTTAGGTTACATAAAATTATAAAACATTTATGCCTCACTACAAGAAGGACACTGAGGTGCTTAAGCATGTCCAAAGAAGGGCAAGGAAGCGGGTGAGGGGTCGGGAGCACAAGTCTCATGAGGAGCCGCTGAGGGAACTGGGGTTGTTCAGCCTGGAGAAGAGGAGGCTGAGGGGAGACCTTATCGCTCTCTACAACTACCTGAAAGGGGGTTGTGGCAACATGGGTGTTGGTCTCTTCTCCCAAGAAACTAGTGATAGGACAAGAGGAAATGGCCTCAAGTTGTGCCAGGGGAAGTTCAGACTGGATATCAGGAAAAATTTCTTCACCGAGAGGGTGGTCAAGCATTGGAACAGGCTGCCCAGGGAGGTGGTGGAGTCACCACCTCTGGAAGTATTCAAAAAACGTGTGGATGTGGCGCTTCAGGACATGGTTTAGGGGACACGGTGGCGCTGGATTAATGGTTGGACTTGATGATCTTGAAGGTCCTTTCCAACTTTCGTGATTCTGTGATTTAATAGTATGGGAGTGCCTTTCAGACTTATGTTTCATGAAATTCAATACTCGTTTAAAAAGTACAGGCACATACAAAATGAAAACTGGAGGCATTGTGGCTATAGTTTTTTATAATTAACTTAATGGGAAGCTGACTAAGTTCGACTTATTCAAAACTTTTGAAGTCTGTTGTATTGTTTACTGAAAAAAACGGAATCTTTTCTATTTCAGAAAGTGTTCTATTTGCAAACCTGAAATTACTTAATTTTTAGCAATATTTAGCTTGCATAAGGCTTATTTCACATCAGAGTTTGGTAGCCTTCAGATTTTGATACATCGTTTTGTTGTTGCCAATTTAGAGAGCGTTATTTCCATTTTGCAGATATGGATGCCTGGTGAATCTATCTACAGAGGCCAAATAAAACTAGACTACTTTAGCCTATCTTGATACTCAAGCTAATCAAAACAAAATAAACCTGGAATAACTGCTTCCATAAGCACAATATATATGTGAGGACAAGCCAGAATAATTTCTTTCAAAGACGAAAGCCAGAACCTGAAAAAGAAATCAGTTTGAAAACCACAATATAAGGACTCACAATGCCATTCCACCAATAAAAGTCTTTCAAATTTCAGACCAAGATAAACAGACACAATTATCTATAAATCTGAGCTCAGATGATCAGCATCAGTGCCTCAGGCAACACGAGTCTATCAGTATTTTAAGAAAGAAAATATGAAATGAGATGGTTGTGTTTGGGTTGGTTTTTTTTTTGTATTTAGGCCTCATACAAAATTGTACAGATGAATTTTTCTCATTAAACTGCACTTTCAAACATACACATGCATGCTGAGCTTTATTGCCATTTCCAGATCAGTCAATATTTCCCAAATTTAGACAGGAATATTTATTGCCCTTCCACTGATGGAAATTTGAAGGCTATTATCATAATTACTAAGCCTTGAGATTTGTTCAAAAAGTTATTGCATATGAGTTTCACCACTCAAAATACATCTCTCCATTTTAAATTATCTTTTGTGTTGACACATCAATGACCTAAATACAACAGTTTTTTATTTAATTTTAATTCAAAGCCCTCTAAACATCTGATGCCCTATTTGCAAGAGCCTAAGTATATGTGTATTATGGTGGTTACATTGCATTTTTTTTCTGCATCACATTTTTTACAGCCTGTTACTGTCATTTGGTGTTTGACTGTTATCATCATAAAAGATACAGGCTTTTCTACTTTGTTATTTGTAGCATTATCTCATGTTTTACAACATCTTTGCACAACATGCCCGCACATGAAATATAACTAGTGAAAAGTTCTCAGTGGTATTAATGCATAAAAAAGAATGTGGTTCCATCTCTACTGTCTTTACCCAGCCAAAAGCTGATGAACAGCCAATTTTCCTTTATCACATTAGCACAGCCATGAGGGAAACACATTTGTTCTAGTCAGCTACACTAAAGATACTATTACCAATCTAACATATACATGTTTTATATCAGCAGTATTCTCAGAGTATGAGGGAGCCAACAATATATTAACACTAGCATGACAGTTTATTTAAGAAAAGAAAATTGTCTCTGTAGAGGGACAGAAGTTAGAAATGTATGGCTAAAGCTCAGTGTCACTGGTCTAATAAAGGTAATAATTCTTAAGCTTTCTTTATAGCAGGTAACACTCCTGTGGCAGCTCTGTCATATCATTCAAATAAAAATGTTGTCTTTTACAAGTTTAAGAGTACTTTTATTTTCAGTCAGATATGAAGCATGTTCCCGCTTTCCTGTTTTCACTGTAAAACATTTGTAAGTGGCATTCAGAAATGGGCACGCTCACCCCCATCAGCTCCTTGCAAACTCTCAGCTGCAGCTTCTATAGGACCCAATTCTGCCTCCCCCAGTGGTAAGTGGAGTGCTCGCCTTCATGCACCCCTACTAAAATTGGTGGGACTATTTATGACTTAAGAGTGACAGAATTGGGCCCTAAATGACCAGGTATATTTACTTGTTGAAAATAGGTGACTAACAACAATTTTAAATCTCCCTCCCTGCCCCCCCCCCAATCTCTTTGTATTAAATAGGATTTAGAATAGTTGGGTTTAATATAGCACATCCCCAAGGTAGCCCTAAGCACTTTACAATGCTGAATTGGATATCAGTGGTGCAGTGACTGTGTAAGGCAAAGGCAGCAGTCATTATGCATTTGGCAGTAGCTCAATGTAATGATCCCCCTGCTGGTTATTAAAGGGGGTATGAATATCTGACATGGGAGGAAAATGTAGGAGGGAAACCATGTGTGGTATAAAAAAGAATCCCAGCGGCTCTCCACTGTGGGAGGGAGGAATGCCTCAAAGTTTGGTGTCAGTTTAGACGAAGCTAAATAAGAAGGACGGCTGGCACCGAATCGGCTGTTTGATGTGGTTATTTAAGGTCTCCTGACCGTAGCATTAAATTGCATAAAATACCACAGAAATAAAAGATGAATTTCACTCCTGACTAGGACAACAGGATTATTCCCCTGTTGTCTTTATTAATAACGTTCTATAGGAATTTGCCCCAAGAGAGTAACAGAAGATGGGTAGGACAGGCTGGCCTCATGGTTGTGCAGAGCACAGGACCAGAAGCCTGGGATATCAGCACTCTAATCCCAGCTCTGAAGCCATCTCTCCTTCCCGTGCTTCCCCATCTGTCAAATACTTAGCAAATCACCTCACAGGGAGGTGGCAAGGATTAGTTACTAAGATAAATTCACTCTGCGACTACATTAGCCTCTGCCAATGCAGAACCTAATACCAATTCCAAGCAATGGAAAATCCATTTGATGGTGAACTGAGATGGTGAAAGATATCCACAATCTTTCCTCTAATAGCATTCTTGTTATGATCCAGAAGAGTTTCAAAGATGAGAGGTGCTGGGCCAACGAACTGATAGGCAAGTTCCTTCAGTGCATCCCGAACAAAGCTCTTGCGGTCCTCCGTCACAAGCGCCCATCCCATTGGAGCCAGCAATACCAAATCCAACTGCTTCCTACCCAGAAAAAATCCCCTACCTTATGGGTCACTGTAGTGCAGAATGAAGGAGGACACACTGAAGGACAAGCTACCGCTTACAAAACAATATAGGGACAGGAAAGGCATTACAACTGTTTATTTTCTCACCTAAGGACCTGTTACTCAGACCCTACCCATGAAAATATAACAATGAAACTTCACGTGAATTTTGCCACTTGGTTTGGATCAGGCAGATCTGTCACATAAACAAAAGCCAGTGTTTTCATGTATTAACTGCTAACAGACACTTCCTCTATATTGCTGTAACCTGTGTGGTAAAAAAGAAGCATCACAACTAAAAATTGCACTTCAGAGCAGTTGTACTGGCTAAGGCTGAGGGACTAACTGGCAAAAAGCAGAAGCAGGGGAACATATAGGAGCATGGTAACCACATATGATACTGCTTTCCTCAAACCACTGGCAGCTCAGAGACCTCATCAGGCAGCCATGGTTTCTGTATATTTAGTAACTTTCCATGGATTTCTCTTGCATGAATTTGTATAGCTGCTCCTTGTATGCAAAATCTCATACTTCCCAAAGCCATACACTGGACAGACCAATTCAAGAATGTGATGGGTTTTTCCTTTCTCTTTTTTCTTTTAAGCCTCAAACTGTAGTGTTACCTACAGGTATAATGTATAATAAATGTAGAAATAAGTAGTATAGCAGG